TTATCTTAAATTAGTCTTGAAAAATCTTAACAAAAATTTAAGACTATTTTAAGATGGGTTAACAGCGACAGAGCCCCGGAACATTAAAACGGAACGTCTTAAAAAAGTTTTAAAATTGTCAGATAATAATTTTTTAACAATTTTAAATTCAATTTAAAAACATCTTACTCAAAAATATTGCGGTTAGAAAGTCGTAAAATCATCTAAAAATTAATTTTCACAACAAATTCGAGAACAAAATTTTCAAAAATCTGCTCTCGGAATTTTTCTTTTGGCGTCTTAAAAGAGTCTTAAAATAGTCTTAGTTTGTGTCACGTTTAAGATCTTAAACGAACGACAATTTTAAGACAATTTTAAGACGATTTTTTTTTACACGGGCTATTCTTAATTTAAATTTATTAAAATTTATTTTTTATTTTTTAGTTTGGTTTTCTATAAAAAGCGTGTTTTTAGTTTTTTTTAACTATTATTTATTCTCTATGTAGGTGGGGCTACTCAACAGAAAGTCTTCTGACAACCTTAGAATTAATTAAAATAGCGTAAAAAAATTTTTGACTAATCCTGTGACATGAATAAACTCATAATCGAAAATGTCAAATGGACAAGAAGCGAATAAACCGGACGGTTGAGCATGAAAATCCTCGACCATTTATTCAAAAGTATCAATAAAATAAAACAAATAGATAATTAAATGGAGTGAATTATTAGTAACGGTGATGACTCGTGAAAAAGTAAAAGCTAAAGGGGTAGAAGTGGAAATAGGAGGGGAGTGAGGAGAATAAGCAAAGGAGGGAGATTGGTGAGGGGTAGGTGAGAAATGAGATTAACCAATAGTTTCTAGTGTCGCACTAGAGGGTGTTATATCGTATAATTTAGTGGACAGTTTGATATACAAACAATCTTTAATGAAATTCTTGGTGTTCATTAATAAACGCATTATAGCCCACGTATACGACATTTAACTACTACCTTCGGTCGAGCCAAGTATCCCCTACTAAATCCTCTATTTAACCCTTTACAACCTCTCCGTTCATTCCGTTCACTCCTTTTATCGCTAACCTTTTATTGTCTATCGTTTTTTGAAATAAACATTTGACGTAAACGCGATTCGGAAAATTATTGGTTTTATTGCACGCCTCATAAGCGAAGCGGATGAGGTAGTGCTCGATCTACTCTCGCCTTACAAAAATCAAGTGATTTTTTTAACTAAAATTGTCTCTAATTAATTTCTATCGCACTTGTAGAATAATATTTACACATAAATGTCATGGAAAAATACTATTTTCAACACTTATGACATTTTTAAACGCATGCGCAGTATTTTTCTTTTCTGGGTGGACAATGGCGCGAAAGATTTAAAAATATTTGTATTTTATTTTAATCAATTTTATTATGAAAAATGAGATTATGAGGTGTGCACTTTTGGATTTCCCAAACTTTTTCAGTTTACGGTCTTGCAAAGCGACTAGATATGATTGAGTGATGATGATAATGATGATAATTGTTAGTTTATCATGTTTTAAATTAATCAGCTACATAAATTCTGAGAATTGCTCTACACGGAGCGAAATTTATAGGAATCTTTCCAACAATTATGGGAATGGATCCTATAATAAAATTATCATTATAGGCATTAATCCTATACTCATTATGGGAACCATACCCATAATTTATTGGAAACGTTCCTATACAATAATGAAATAGCTTCAATATATTATGGGAATGGTTCCTATAATATTATGGGAATGACGCACATAATAATAGAAAAAAGTTTATTTTCTTAATAATGAAGCAATCACTTCAAAAACATAAAGTAATTATTATGTATTTTTTTGCTTAATAAATTTTTTTTTTAGTTTAAATAAAAATTGTATCTTTCTACTAGAGTGAAAAAATTTACTTTTTACTATAATTTTTATTTCACGTGTGTACTTAATCTTGAATTATTATTTCCAGCTCAGTTATTATTGTGTTAAATAATATTGAAAAATATTGTAGCAATTCTAAAGTTTCTCTAATAAAAAGGATATTTTCACACTATACAATTGTAGAAGCAAAATAGATATGGAAATTCATTGTTTATATTCACAATTTTATTTTATTTTTAAAGCAAATTATTTATTTAAAATATATACGTTGAGCCGCGAAAACATTTGAAAATTTGGAATTTCAAAACAATTGGAAATTTCATTTTTTTAAAGAAATTTTTTTTTTCTAGTAGAAATTTTTTTTTTAACTAACTTTTTTTTTT